ACAACCGAGAGGCAGACAGATCAGTCACCACCACTTGAGCTGCGCCCATTGCCTTGGCCACCAGCAAATTGACCAATCCAATTGGCCTTGTAGCAGAAGTTGGCATCGTGCTTATAGAACCGGCAGAGGTTCCCATCATCGGGGGGCGTGGCACAGAAGAAGATGGTTGGTGACAGGTTGTATCGGCCAATCTTGCAAAATTCATCGATTTCTCGGGGAGCACCAGGCTCGATGGCAACGCGATCGCCTTGTTGTAGGTGCTTTACCAATGACCCCACTTTTACGACTGTTCCTGATGCTTCATGACCCAGAACCATTGGCTTTTTCACAATAAAATCCCCAATTCGACCATGCTGCCAGTAGTGGACATCTGAGCCGCAGATTCCAACAGAATGCATCTTCAGCAGCACCTCAGGCGCAGGTCCCCGGGTCCGTGAACCACCAGAGACAGGTTCTCGGGCTTGGCCGCCATGTCGCTCTCCCCTTCGAGGTGGAAGCTGCAGCCCGCAGGACGCTTGGAGGTTCTGGCGGCTGCCCGGCCGAGGGTCGTGGGTAGGAGGCTGGAGGCCGGGTTTGGACTTGAGCGAGGCGGCGCCGACAGTTAGTTTCTTAAGAGAAACTTTGTGCCACCACCATCATCCCAGAAGAAATTGGCACAAAAATATTCAAAGTCATGAAAGGCAAGGACATACAACCAAGATTACCCAGCAAAGCTATAATTTAAAATCAGAGAGACAAGAAAAAGCTATAGGAGTTCATTACCATCAAAGCAACAATACAAGAAATGTTAATGGGGCTTCTTTAAGAAGAAAGGGATAAATATGATAATAAAATGGCAATAACTACGTCCCTATCAATAACCACTTTAAATGTAAATAAACTCAATGCTCCAATTCAAAGACATAGGATAGCTGAATAAATAACAAGACCCATAAAAAAAAATGCTGTCTACAAGAGACACACATTAGATTGAAAGAAAGACACATACTGAAAGTAAAAGTATGGAAAAGGATATTTCATGCAAATGGAAACCAAAAAAGCCGAAGTAGCAATATATTTGCCAGACAAAATAGACTTTAAAACAAAAGCTATAATCAGACACAAAAAATGACATTTCTTAATGATAAAGGAATCAATACAACAGGAAGAAATAACCCTTGAAAACATGGATGCACCCAATACAGGCAAACCTAAATACATAAAGCAAATAATGACAGACATAACAGGAGAGATCAACAGTAATGAATTCAGTAAAGTAGCAGGATAAAAAATTTATATTCAGAAATTAATTGTATTTTATACACCAATAATGAACTATCAGAAAGAGAAATTAAGAAAACAATCCCATTTTCAATTGCATTGAAAAAACACCTAGGAATAAATTTAACCATGGAGGGGAAAGACCTGTACTTGGGAAACTGTAAGACATTGAAGAAAGAAAATGAAGAATATACAAATAAATAAAAGGGCATACCATGCTCGTGAAAAAATTAACACCATTAAAATGTCCATGTTACCCAAAGCACTCTATAAATTTAATGCAATCCCTATCAAAACACCAATGGCATTTTTCTCAAAAATAGAGCAAATGATCATAAAATTTATATAGAATCATAAAAGACTCCAAATAGCCAAAGCATTCTTGAGAAAGAATAACAAAATAGGAGGCCTCACATTACCTGATATCAAACTATACTACAAGGCTGTAGTAATCAAAACAGCATAATATTGGCATAAACACATACACACAGACCAATGGAACAGAATACAGAGCCTGGAAATAAACCTATACCTATATGGTCAATGAATCTATGGCAATAAAGGCAAGAATATACCATGGGGTAAAGACAGTCTCTTCAATAAATGGTGTTAGAAAAACTGGAAAGACACATGCAAAACAATGAAATTAGATCACTTTCTTACACCATATACAAGAATAACTCAACATGATTTAAAGTCTGAAATGTAAGACCTGAAACCATTAAGCTCCTAGAGGAAAACATAGGCAGTAAGTTCTTTGACATCACTTTTAGTAATATGTTTTTGGATATGTCTCCTTGGACATTGGAAACAAAAGAAAAAAATAAACAAACGGGACTACGTCAAACTAAAAAGTTTTTGCACAGTAAAGAAAACCATCAAAATGAAAAGATTAACCTACTGAATTGGAAAAGATATTTGGCAACGACATACCTGATAAGTGGTTAATATCCAAAACATACAAGGAACTCAAACAACTTAACACAAACACTCCAATTAAAAATGGACAGTGGACCTGAAAAGACATTTCTTCAAAAAGGATTCAGACATAAAAAGATGCTCAACATACTAATCATCAGAAAAATGCATATTATAGCCACAATGAGATATCACCTCACACCTATCAGAATGGCTATCATCAATAAATCAACAAACAAATGCTGATAAGAATGTGGAGAAAAGGGAAGCCTCACGCACTGCTGGTGGAATTGGAGGTTGGTGCAGCCACTATGAAGCAGTATGGAGATTCAAAAAAATTAAAAACAGAACTACCATATGACCCAGAAATTCTACTTCTGAGTATTTACCCAAAGAAACTCAAAACATTAATTCATTTGAAAAGACATATACACCATGTTCACTGCAGCATTATTTACATTTGCCAAGACAGGGAAGCACCTTAATTATCCATCGACAGGAGAATAAAGAAGCTGTAGTATATTTATACAATGGAACATTACTCAACCATAAAGAAGAATTAAATCTTGCCATTTACATCATGGATAGACCTAGAGGGTATTATGCTAAGTGACATAAGTCAGAAAGAGAAATACAAGTACAATATAATTCACTTATATGTGGAATCTAAAAACAAATAAATGTATCAACAAAACAGAAACAAACCAATATATACAGAGAACTAATTGATGATTGCCAGATGAGAGGGAGGTTGGGGAGATGGGTTGAAAGCTGAAGGGATTCAGAAGTAAGAAGTGCCAGTTATAGCCGAAACCGGTTTGGCTCAGTGGAGAGAGCGTCGGCCTGCGGACTGAAAGGTCCCAGGTTCGATTCTGGTCAAGGGCATGTACCTGGGTTGCGGGCACATCTCCAGTGGGGAGTGTGCAGGAGGCAGCTGATCGATGTTCCTCTCTCATCGATGTTTCTAACTCTCTATCCATCTCCCTTCCTCTCTGTAAAAAATCAATAAAATATATTTAAAAAAAAAAAGAAAAGAAGTGCTAGTTATAAATGAGTCAAGAAGATGTAAAGTACAGCACAGGGAAAATATTGTCAATAACGATGTAAAGGGTCAGATGGGTACTAAACTTACAGGGAAGATTACTTTGTAAGATATGTAAATGTCTAATTACTATGTTGTACTCCTAAAGCTAATATAATATTGTATGTCAACTATAATTGTCAAATAAAAAATATCTTTAAAATAGAATTTAGTTAAAATAGCAAAAATTTATACTAAAAGTCCTGGGAGTCCTAGGGATTCTGAGAAATTACCAGATAGTATTATGAAGAAAGAAGATAAAAAGTCAGTGAGCCTCTGTGAGGATCATAAATGTCAGTAAAAGAATAGCAGAAAAGATAAGAAAATTTGGTCTCTTTTGTCAAAGTTCCCATGTTATTAAAGACACTCCCTTTCAAAGCATTATTTATTGGAAAGAAATGTTAAAGGAAGTCTTAATTCCTACAAGGCCAAATATGTTCCCCTACCTCCCAAAATACATCTCCCATTTGCTCACAAATTCTGTACCCTGACCCTTGGAATCTCCTGGATTCCCTAATTGGAGGCCAGGTTCTTCCATTACATATTGGTTCACCAAAACCAATGGGTGATTCCACGAAGTCTTTAAAGAAGTAATTATGTCAAGAGAGGAATCCACATAGTCAAGACATGGCTTTCTTAGGAATGGTGCTTATTTAATCTTAGCAAGAGCAGCTGCTCTTCTTTCTGTATTCTGGAACAAGGCACGGATTAAAGCTTTTACTTCACTGGAAGAGAATGCAGCTGCCAAGGGTCCTTTTCCATCTGCCCACCTGCAAAATAAAAGATAAAATTCTTTTTCCTATTATGTCTCTGAAGTATAAGCAAGACTTAAAAAATGCTTATGTGATCCCAAATGCTTGTCTTAATAGAAATAAAACAAAACCTGGCATCCTTCCCCTTCTTACTGGATCTACCACTCAATCTCTTTGACCTCTTTGGCTTTCTGGCTGCATTTGAGTATCAGTACAGAGAGATAAAGAGACGATGTTAGGTAGATAAGACTATTCTCCCTTATTCTATACTCACTAAGCGCTGTTGGAACTTGACAATCATGACCACATCCTCATATGTTTATATAGAGTATTAGGATCTGTAACTACTTTAAAAAGTGAATCATAGGCAACAAATTTTAACTTAGAATGAATTGGTATAAAAAATACATAGAGAACTCCCATAAGTCAATAATGAAACCACAAACAACCCATTAGAATAAAGGGCAAAAAATATGAACAGGCATTTTATAATAGGAAAAACATGAAGGATCAATAAAAAGATGCTCAACATCATTAGAATTTAAGGAAATGTAAATTACAATGACAATGAGCAAAATTCACACCAATTAGAAAAAAAAATTAAAGTCTGATAATACCAAATACTGGTGTAGATGTGAAGTAAGAAAATAAAGAAATTACAAAATATCTGTATAATGGAACATGATACAGCAGTGAAAATGAACTGCTGCTATGCACACCATTATGAATAAACTTAAAACTATAAAGAAGCAAGTTATAGGAGATTCCACTTATAGAAAGTTCTAAACTTCATATTGTTTAGGAATATGTGCAAATGTGGAAAACTATATATTGTTTAGGGATATGTGCAAATGTGGTAAAACTATAAAGAAAGGCTAGGAAATTACAGAGAATTCAAGATAGTGGTTGCCTGTGGTGGGGAGCACTTGGAAAGGAACACAGGGGTCTTCAAAGGCACTGGTAATATTTCCCTTAAGTTGGGTAATAGGTACGTGAACATTTACTTTACTCTTTTTCTTTAAACTATGAGTATATGTTATATATACTATGCTCTTTCATATGTATATTTTATAATTTTAAGATGTTTAAACTATACAACAGAAGGTAAAATTCTCAACTAGATATTATTTATATATTTACTGAAATCTCTGGAAGAAAAAAAAATCTTCCTAGGCAGAAAGAAAAGGAAGCTATGATGTGAAAGTATTATTTTTTTCAGAACAAGGGATTAATGATCATTCTTAGGCTGTAAGAGGGCCCTTGACCAGCAAAAGAAAAATTCTTATATGCTGCCTTCTGGAGTCTTACCTGAAGATATTTATTACCCACTAAGGACTTGTAAATAACAAATAAATAAAACAAATTTTGTATTAAATATAAGTTAGAAGTATTTTGATATGATTTTTTTTACAAATAGAAATCTCATTTATAGTGTTTTACAAAAGACAATATTTGCTGAGAATAATTTAGACCCATCTAGGTCTAATATAATTGGGGATCTGAAATAAAGCTAAATCAGATAAACAAGTAGCTATGGGGATGGAGATGGACTTTTAAGGCCTATTCAGGGAGCTCCCTGAGCAAGGTATGCATACTGGTTAATAATCTGCCAAGTCAATAATAAAAGCATTCATGGATGTGTAACTAACCTAAACCTATTCTGTTTTTTGCAGTATCGATGCCCTCCGCACATTCAGTGTGATATGATATAGACAGCATACAAACACTGGGACAGCAATGTTAAATGATGGTGGTGAGAGGAAACATCATCTATTATATTAAGAAAAAGTATATTTTTTCTATATGTACAGTGCTTAATCTCTAACCCTACTGTACTTCCTGCAGAAAAACTGGTCAATTAAACAATGGTTTGAGTTGAATAATACAAATAAAAGTCACTTCTCTGTTAAAGTGTCAAAGCCGATGTTAAAATGCATTCACTGTTGTTTAAAATGGGCAACAATTTCCATATAGGTTTGAGAAGGTGTACTTCTTACAAATCCAAGCTCATTTGTACAGCATCCCAAAGCAACATGTTCAAGACCACAATTATACGAAACAAGAAGTCTTTATGTTAACAAATATAAAAAAGTGGTAATGAGATCTACACTATGATAGATAATGCAAAGGTCCATACTGCTACTCAATAGGAAGTTGTTTCCTGGGTAACATTAAAAAATAGAGAATAATCCTATATAATAAAAGCCTAGTATGCAAATCAACCGAACAGCAGAACGACTGGTGGAATGATAGGTCACTATGACACGCACTGACAATCTATCTATCTATCTATCTATCTATCTATCTATCTATCTATCTATCTAAAAGCCTAAGCGATAGGTCACTATGACACGCACTGACCATCAGGGAACACACACTCAATGCAGGAGCTGCCCCCTGGTGGTCAGTGTGCTCCCACAGGGAGAGCACTGCTCAGCCAGAAGCCGGCTCACGGCTAGCGAGCACAGCAGTGGTGGTGGGAGCCTCTCCCGCCTCCCCAGCAGCACCAAGGAGCAGCGAGCAGTAAGGAGCAAGGGGTCCCAGACTGTGAGAGGCCAGGCTGAGGGACACTTCCCCCCCCTCCAGTGCATGAATTTAATGCACCAGGCCTCTAGTATTGTAATAACTATATATGGTATCAGATGGTCACTAGACTTATTGGGAAGATCACTTTGTAACTTACACAAATATCTAATTACTATGTTGTACACCTGAAACTAATATAATATTGTATGTCAACAGAAATTAAAAAAATTAAATACATAAAATAATCTCCCCGTGCAAAGAAAGAAGGGGGGGGGGAGGGAGGGAGGGAGGGAAGAAAAGAGGGAGGAAGGGAGGAAGGGGAAGGAAGCACTGCTCTCAATGCCACTAATACTCCTCAAAACCGTGAAAAGATCATTCTACCCACCGATCCCCAATTTCTTGCAAGCTGGCCTGTAACATCATCATCAGTTCTTTGAATGGCATCCATTTTGGCACATAGACTGGAACCTCTTCTTGATATTTCTTGTTCTTGCTTTCTTCAGAGAGAGGTGCAAATACTTGGGGTCCTTCATCCATCACTGTTTTGCATAAGGAATACAATCTATCACCATCTTCAGTAGAGATGTCCTGGTTTTGCACAAATGGAACACAACAAAATACAATTGGGCCAGCTTAGTAGTAAGGAAAGGGCAGATCTTTGGTGCATGTTGTCCAGGCAGTCAGCTAACAGCAATATGTTTTCCAACCAATTTAGCACCTCTTACTGCACACTAGATTTCATCAGCTCTCTGACAATACTCCTACAGCTAGAGTGACACAAAATATGTTTCAACAGATTGTTAGTAATTTAGTTTGCCTGCATGAAAAAGCCCATTTCTCCAGTAGAATGTAGCACAGCTTGCTGCAAAGCAGGGGATATTACAAACAAGGTTTGAGCCAATGTATGCTTTAGAGGCATGAGATAGCAGAGTCCAGGCAACTATTGTAGGGTCACATATATAATCCCAACTGCATCTCACTTTACTAAATTAATTTAATTTATCTGAAAATTAAATATACATGACTTCATACTTTACAGCCCATTTCGGGACTACTGTTTCCAACCTTCTCATTCATAATTTACACAGATGCTAGATGGAAAAATAGTGTAATCCTACCTTTGTATATGGCTATAAAGAAGAGACATTAGGAGGTCTCTAGAGCAAGAAAGAATTAAGACAAAACTAAAAAAATACAAACTATGAATTAGACATAAAACATGAACAATTTCTTCTACCATCTGTGTTGACTAAAAATGAGACTTCAACAACACATTCCTAGTAAAGTGACAATCTAGGACAAGAATTGCATATCAAGTCTGGTGAGCCATCTAACAGCCCTTACCTCCAGGGCAGTGATTCTGCCAATAATCTCAGAAATTGCTGTATTGAGTAAAGTCCCCATAGCCTTGCAATATATGTTCACTGGCAGGACATCCTGCCATACAATTCCAAGTCTCTTTAGTTGGTGCAGGACCTGTGAGAAAAACACAGCTATTTACATAAAAGAGAGATTGCTGCAACTTCTTTCCAGATTTACATTTATCATTTGTGTGTTTATGAGAGAAGAGGCAGCATATAAAGGTGAGGTAAAGTAACCAAGAATATGTGCTTCTTGAATATTAAACCTTAGTGATATGCCTGCTAGATGAAAAACAAATTTATCCAGAGGACAGGAAAATGACACTAAAAAAATAAATCATGTAGGAAAGTGGAGCATTAAGATGAAAGGTAATATTTCAAATTTCCCAAACCCAAGTTCATGGGTTAAATATTTGCTATGACAGACTTAAAACTTGTCACATGATGACTTGATGGGAAGGTAGGTTCCTGTTGACTTGGGGGGGCAGCAGGGGAACAATCATAAATATGATTGTAAAAGGTATCCAGATTGTCCAATGAGGGTTGTGTGGAATAAACTGAGCTGTCTGTTACATAGTTTTTGGTGTTTAAAAACAAGGGGCATATCTAAAGATAGAAAACAAATTCCAGAGCTAACAACACCTCCCACCTGACGGATTGCTTTACTTGCTGCAAAATAGTTCTCTTCATCATCCATGCTTGAAAAGTTCCTAGCACTTGATAATCTTTCCAGAAGTTCTCCTTTCTGTGCCCGCATCTGGGCCAAAAAACATTCTGTCCCTATAATGAGAAATGAGAATAAAGAATTCTAACAGTTGTTCAATTACACACTGCAAAACTAGTGTGGAAGAGGAGAGAAGCATGCACTATGTATCTGTTCTGCTTACTTGAAAACACTTGCTTGTTATCTAGCAAACAAGCATAAAGCTGCCCTAAGGTTACTAGGGGCAGTCATTTCTAATACGTTAGCCAGCTCCTCCAAACCCATCCTCAGGATAGTAAATCTTTCCCAATAGCTTGTCCAGAGTCAGATGAGAAAAATAACTTAGATAGAAGCAGCTACTTATTTTCTGAAAGATCTATACCACCGAAGGAATGTCAGGAATTGAAAAGCTAAGTGAATTATAGAGTCTCTGCTTTTCTTAGGCTGTCATTATAGCAAAATTATTGATTTATCCCACATTTCATGTCTTTTGAATTTTTTAATAATCCCAAGTAAAGCTAAGAGAAGTAGAAGAAGAGGGAGCTATTTTGCAAAATAACAAGCACTGACATCAGCGAACTCTTACCAACAACGCTAATGGAACTGTCACAATACAAATCTTATTATTTGTCATTCTACTGACATAACTCAGATTTGGTGAATTCACTGCACATTAGCAATGCACTCTGGAACTCTAATGTATCATGAAATCATGTCAAGAAAAAGTAGTGCTTCCACGAAGGGTACATTCACTTTATAAAATTAAATAACTAGGAATACTTGCAAATTAAATGCCCTCCTACTTTCCAACAGAGCTCAGGACCACCACCTAATTTCTAACTGCCTCATTCAAAAATTACAAAGATACCAGGCTGAGAAGCGGCATAATCAATGTGCTTTACTGAATTTAAGATATCAGTTACCAAGTCTCCTGAAGCCAGGTACAAGATCCACAAAAGTAGTAGTGCCATCACAAAGAATGGGGGCAAGATGTAATCTGAACTGATGCCCGAGGGTCAGCAAGTGATGAGCAATATACATACAGTTGTTATGATGAATGGCAGCCAATTGGGGAAGTTTTTGAAGGTTCTCCCTAGTTAAAGAGAGAGGGTAGAAAGAGAAAGAAATTACCTCTTATTGAAGTTGGGGTTGATGAAGTTACTACTCTTTTAACTCTTTCTAGGTTTTAATCATTGTCTGCTGTATAAATGCTGAACATAAGATATAATCTCATCTTCCAACTTACGATCAGAGAGAAGTTGTTCTGCCTGAGTGTGACCTTATCCTACAAAACTATCCCAGTGAATAACAAACAAGAAAGAGTAGGGGAATTAAGATATTTCCCTGTGTCAACTTTTTGTATTGGAAACCTAGCATAGATATACATAATAAATCCCTTGAAATTTAACACTGATCAGTCTGTGGAAATAGACTTACTTCCTCTTTCTTCAAATTCCTATTTTATTTATATACTGAAGCACTCAACTATTTTCTAATTCACTAGTTTTCAAAACTGGCTACAGATTAGTCACCTGGGAAGTTTAAAATATATAGATATTTAACCTGGCCGGCATGGCTCAGTGGTTGAGCGCTGACCTATGAACCAGATCACGGTTCAATTCCTGGTCAGGGCACACGCCCAGGTTGTGGGCTCAATCCCCAGTGTGGGGTGTGCAAAAGGCAGCTGATCAATGATTCTCTCTCATCATTGATGTTTCTATCTCTCCTCCCTTCCTCTCTGAAATCAATAAAAATATATTTAAAATGTTTCTAAGCATATAAATATATATTTAGACTTCAATCCCATACAAATTAAATTACAATCTCTGAATGAAGCTAGGGCATTTATGTTTTAAACCTTCCCAGGTAATCTTAATTTTCATACAAAATCAAAAACCACTGCTCTAAATCTTCCACACATATTAGTCTCCCTACCTAGCCTGGGAAGAGATCTTGTCTTGTATTTCTGCTATATATCCTCTTCAGCAGTCTCTCAACTAATACTTCCTAGTTTGCTGATGTCAGGCTAACTATACAAAGTCAGAAACTAACAATCTAAGACTTGTCCTCATTTTGGGCTACACATCAGATGTGTGGGTCTTAAACCAGACCTATGAATCAAAATCTCTTGGGATAGGACCTAGGCAAATATACATATTCTTAATGTTTCATAAGTGATTCTAAAATACAGCCAAAGCTGAGAACCCTCATCTAAAACAGTGGTTCTCAAACTGTGGTCCCCTGACAAGCAACATCAGCATGACGTAGAAATTCATTTAAAATTCCAGCTCTGATTTCAGTCCTACTGAATCAAGAAATCTTGGGCATGGGATCCAGAAATATATATTATAACGAGTCTTCCTGATAATTCTGATGCACACTCAAATTTGTAAACCATAGGTCCAGCACAGAGTTCCAAGATCATACAGAAGTAAATCTAACTTCACAGTAGTATGAAAAATGTTTCTAAGCATGGACTCCTAAACCAACTATCTCTGAAACTCAAAAAACATGGCTGTCAGCTGAACCAGAGATGTTTTCTCTTCTCTTTTACTTGACTAAGTACAGTGAAATAAAAATTTTAAAACAGCAAAGAAAATATAACTAAAAATAATAAGGTTCACAATAAGTGTTTTCTTTTATAACAAAAACAACAGGTGTACCTACATAAAAACATCTCAATATTCAAAAATATGAACTAAAAATACTACAAATAATGAACTAATTTTGTTTTTTGAAATCAGGAGTCCTCAACTAATGAATAACTGTGCTGATGTAATATTTAAAACTTTCATAAAAGATATCCAAAACACTTAATGTGGATAACGTAGAGAGCTCTTGGAGGCTTAAAGTTATGAATAACTTTTCAGATTAATATTAAAAGAAACTTCAAAAACCCATGACATTAAGTAAATATCGCCTAAAATAACTAGAAAGAGTAGCTGATCATATCTGACAGTTAAATGGCAATCCCTTGTGGTATTAAGTCTGCAAAGCCAAGAGAAAATGTAGTATGTTTACTAGATAGCAATGTGGAGTGATGGCCTTTTGTTTTGTAACCAAGTAAAGTGAGGCGTTCTCATCTACCATCAAAAACAGGGTAGCCCTAACCGGTTTGGCTCAGTGGATAGAGCGTCGGCCTGCAGACTCAAGGGTCCCCAGGTTCGATTCTGGTCAAGGGCATGTACCTTGTTTGCGGGGTACATCCCCAGTAGGAAGTGTGCAGGAGGCAGCTGATCGATGTTTCTTTCTCATCGATGTTTCTAACTCTCTATTCCTCTCCCTCCCTCTCTGTAAAAAATCAATAAAATATAAAAATAAATAAAAACAGGGTAAAGTTTTTTTCAAGTTTTTAAATTTGCATCACCCATTATATTGCAAGATTACAGTACCCTTATTAACTTATTAATAAATGACCTGTGTCCTTTAAACATGTATTTTAAATGGTTTACTGCATTTCATTGTAAAAATTTTGGTACCCAAAATATCTTTGGTGGGAAATAAGATCACTGGTTTTAATGACTTACACACATTTCAGACATACAATCCTACAGAAATGAGATACAGTGGTACTTACTTGTGATATGTTGGTACAACATCATGAAACAAATGGAAGATATTCCTCACTGAGTAGAAAAGTTGAACAGCACTAAGAGGAAAACAATTTCAATAGAAATGCATAAGGATATATTGGAAGTAGAAAAAAACTTAAACTAAGTGTACCTTAAACTAAGGGAAAGTCATCAGCTAAAACGACAATCTGAGCAAATACCTGCCTTGGTCACTGCTGAAAACACCACTCATCTAGATGGAAATATACTCTCAGTCAGTATTTGCTAACTAGACTGCAGTCCTAAAAACCTGGATCTCTTAATAATTTTAAGAATTGCAGCATTCAACACAAAGCCTTTTTCCATTTTACCCGTTTGTTTGTTTTCTGCCAGGACCCAGAGTATCCCTTCAGTAACAAATGGAGCTAAGCCTCAAGCAAATGTTACCTACTCACTGACGCACTCTGCAAAGGGCAAGACATCAATAAGGCATTCACTTGGTGCTTTTAGAATCAGTTTGACTTTCAGCTTTCACCTTTTCTCCTTCTTACCCCAATGCAAGGAGATGAATCAACATTTCTAGAATAGAATCTAACCTCAAGGTTTGTTTGTTTTTTTTGCCCTTTATATCTGGTGTTAGAATACCTAAAGATTATTATTAAAATGCACCCAGAAAGGGCAAATATAAGGTTTCTGCACTTAGTTCTGTGTAAGAAGAGTATCTTAAAACTATGTACCTTGAATAAGTCACAAGAATGCCACAAATGTTTAGAAAAATAAGTTATGGTTATTATACCCCCAAATACTGTTGCTACTTGATTACTATAATACCTGACTATTTTATTTTTGCTGCATATATTCTTTGAGGTTTAATAATAGAGGAGTTATTGCAGTGTAGTTGTGATTTTATTTGTCCTGTTAAAAACTATTTCTTTTAGTGAAAGAATGGCCATAGACATTCAGTATACAAAAATTTTGTTGGGT